GATCCCAGAATTCCCTAAAAAAGAGGATGCACCTTACAAACAGCCACGCTAATCTTCTGCATTCCGGATAGAAACCCCCGAGGACTGGGGGTAGCTGAGAAAAGTCTCTGTTGTTTTGACTTTCACCACAAGGAAGGGAATGACTCCATTATGGATAATTTGGGTCCTTCAAAGCAAATTATCCTATTTAAATGTCAAACGTTTCTCCCCAGTTGATTAGCTTTCTCTGCCCAGCTCCCCCTGGAGTGTTCCCCAGAACTGTGTTCCATCTGTGAGCTTCAGGCAAAATGAGCCACAGGCAGATGCTCTGTCCTAGAAAGAGAGAGCAAGGCAACTTGTCTCTGGGAAATTCCTCACCCCAGACCTTCCTCCCAGAACTACGGAACTGAGGACTCTGCAGGACACCTACGTACCACAGAGCCAACCAAGGAGGTGTGGGGCCTCCAAGGGTCTTTGGAAGACGCAGAATGCCTGTCAGACAGGCTAGGAAGCCAGGGCAAGTGGAATAGGAAAACGGAGACAGATAATTAGATGGCCAAGCAGTTTACAGCCATCTAGTAAATTGCAAAATCTTATCTTTCCTAACTAAGGACACTTGAGAGAAAATGGTTATACTTCTCTTTCAGCAAGATTCATACCTACAATTACCTTTGTTAACCTGGATCCCAACAGAAGTGTTGCCCCTCAGGTCACTGTGTGATAGATACTCTTCCTTTGACACTCAGGACATTGTCCACTTTGATCTCTGCTTGGCCTATTCAAAGGATGGCTGCATTCATTACCAATCTAGAACTTCCCTGGAACCATAGCTCACCAAAACATTACAGGCGTACCCCTCTTCCCATGTAGGTATGTGGCCCTAACCTTATCTTGGGGGTGTGATGCCCTCCAGAAGAGGTCACACTTCCCTAGTTCCAATCCTGTCCCACTTGACCTTCTTGCACCCTTTGGCTATTGGGTCGGCCATTCAACCGATCAAAAAAATATGCTAATAATATGCCTAGGCCGCTCAACCGCTCGCTATGATGTGAACTGACCACCAGGGGGCAGATGCTCCGTCCAGTAGGTTAGCTTGCTGCTGGGGTCCAGCCAATAGGGAATGAGTGAGACGGGCTGGACACACCCTGGAGTCTACCTGCGGTCTCTCCCCGGCTGGTCAACCTCCCGGTATCCCTCCCCAACCCCTATCATGCACTTGTGGGGTCCCTTAGCCTGGCCTGCTCCCTCTCAAAATTCAGGACCCCTAGGGGGATGTTGGAGAGCCAGTTTCGACCAGATGGTGGAATGACTGGTCGCTATGACATGCACTGACCACCAAGATTCATACCTACAATTACCTTTGTTAACCTGGATCCCAACAGAAGTGTTGCCCCTCAGGTCACTGCGTGTGATAGATACTCTTCCTTTGACACTCAGGACATTGTCCACTTTGATCTCTGCTTGGCCTATTCAAAGGATTGCTGCATTCATTATCAATCCAGAACTTCCCTGGAACCATAGCTCACCAAAACATTACGGGCATACCCCTCCCATGTAGGTATGTGGCCCTAACCCAGGGTGGGCAAACTTTTTGACTTGAGGGCCACAATGGGTTCTTAAACTGGACTGGAGGGCCGGAACAAAAGCATGGATGGAGTGTTTGTATGAACTAATATAAATTCAAAGTAAACATCATTACATAAAAGGGTACGGTCTTTTTTTTTTCAGTTTTATTCATTTCAAACAGGCTGGATCCGGCCCGCGGGCAGTAGTTTGCCTACGGCTGAACTAGAGGGAAGGGGAAGCAAGGTATGGGTTTTAAACAGCAGAGCAATGTAATCAAATTGCACTTTATATAAGTAACTCTAACTGCGCTGGAAATGATTATTAAAAGGGGTCAAGACTGAATCGAGAGGGACCAATGACTAAGCTGTTGCAACAGTCCAGGTAAGAGATAATGAGTTCTTGGACTTACGCAATAGCAGTAGGCTAGAGAGAAGGACTTGGATGGAGAGAGATCAATGAGGCGTAATCATCAGGGTGGTGGTTGATTGGACCTGAAGGCTGAGGGAGAAGGAACACTCAGAGAGGACTCTCAGATTTCCGCTTGGCTGTCTCTGGGATCTGTGCAGTCTCATCTTAACGTGATTGCATCTGCAAAGACCCTGTTTCCAGATAAGGTCACATTCACAGGTTTCTGGGGGTTAGGACTTCAACATACCTTTCTGAGGGACAAAATTCAACTAATAATATACTTTGATTTTAATTATTTTTAAATGTTAAAA